GTGCCAAAACCCTGCCGCCTTACTGTATGATATTTGGCTTTGATTGAGAACCCTAATCATTCTCCTGTCTAGGTCTGGGCAACCTGACAGTATTCTGCCCAGGCAATACAGTGGACTTCTAACATTTTCTTGGTGCTTTGGTCGTCGCAGAAGATAATCAACGGCCCCTTATCTGCTGCTACAGGGTAGATAGGGTTTTTGGAAGCTACTGCTTAGACCTTCCCGTATTCTTATCCGCTCTCGCGCTTTTTCATCCTTATCGTCCCGCTCCAACTTCACTTTTCTCCCCCGTTTTCAATCTTTCAATTCCTGACCATCCTCCACCTTGCTTCAATAATCGCTTGTCTTCTAGTTTCAGCTCACACAATCGCAGGGTGTCGCTTCAATTCAGTTGACAAGTCCTTGTTCAACCAAGCGGACAACATCACTTCATTCGTTTCCCTTTGGAGTCCTCGTGTCTCGCTAAGACTGGAATGCCTCGACGTGCGCGCTTTGCTCCAGATTGGCCAACAGGCGGCACTTGCCCGAACAATCGAGACCGTATCGATCAATATTTGTTGTTTATCGGAAACTCGTCTGCAAGTTTCTAGCTCCGTGCTTACCCTGCGATCCCCCACATGCAACACTGACGGCACATTCCCATTGTGACTGTCTGGCATTGACGCAGCTTCAAATGCAGGTCAAGCTGGCGTCGGCATTGTTTTGAGTCTCTGGGCTGAAGCTGCCCTGATCGATTGGATCCCAGTCAAAAGTCGCATGTGCGCCGTTAGATTAGCTAGTTCATTCCAGGCTTTGAAGTCGCGCGGGGACAAACGGTACCTGTTTGTCATTACGCCCTACGCCACTACAAACCGTAGCACTGATTCGGTGAAAGATGATTTCTACCAGCAACTTAACCGTCTTCTTCGTTACAGGAGAAGCACGGATACTGTGGTATTGGCTGGTGATCTAAACGCCCAAGTCGGAAAATTGTTCACTGATGAGCTTCATTTGGGTGGCCAACATGGTGTAGGCTCCCGTAATGATAACGGTGAGCGATTGCTACAGCTGTGTGAAGATGCTCATATCTTTCTCGCGAGCACTTACTTTCGACACAACACCTGCGGAAGAGTGACGGCGCCCACCAGCCTCGGACCAGCCATAGACGCAAATTGTTCATATCGCGATCAGCTACCTTTGGAGAGGCTGTGTCCAAAACTGTCACTCGATTTGGAGCACCAGCATGGACTCCGATCATGCTCTTGTGTGTGCTGACCTTTGGATGCGTTTCGGCGAACGTCCGCAACGTCGATGTGAGCGCATTGACACTATCCGGCTGAGGAAGCCAGGTGTTCTGAATGCGTATCAAAGTATGCTGGCATCCGGGCTGTGTAAGCGCCCGCTGTACACTGTCGAAGATCACTTGTTGCATATTCGTCAGATGTTACTATCAGCAGACATGTCTTCATGTGGTAAATCAAATTGCCAAACTGGACATTGGGACCCTACACAGTCTCTGGAACTTAGGAATACTCGCCGACGTATTCCAGCTAAAGGCGTACAATAAGACTCGTAACAATCGCAGGACTAAACTACGTGCTAGCCTGATGCGAGTCTGCGAAACATGGTGGTCTCATCGTGCATCGGAGATGGAAACAGCCGCTGCGGTTGGTAATCATCGTAATTTATTCCGTCTGTTATGGGATACAGGCAGCAGGAGACCTGGTGTTAGCAAGACTATACGCGACGACAGTGGACAACCGATCCACAGCCTGTCAAGACGCTTGGAGCGCTGGACCAAACACCTTGCAAGGCAGTTTATGCAATCTGAGTTACCACTTTCTTTTTCGAGCATTGAGTGCCCTTCCGCTTAGATCCTCCCTCACGCGCAGAAGTCGAACGTGAGATCAGATTGTTGAAGTTGCATAAGGCCGCAAGGGCAGATAGAATTCCCCCAGCCCTCTTCAAATTCGGGGGGACCTGCTCTAGTAGATGATTTACACAAGTTGCTAGTGAAACTGGGGGAAGGAAACTGTCACGACAGACTGGAGCCGCTTCGTCATGGTCCTATTTATCAAGGGAGGCTCTCGTTGGGAATGTGGCAATCATAGAGGGACATGCCTGATATCAATTGCCTCCGAATTGCTTGCGTCTGTCGTTCTCCACAAGCTGACTGGCACTCGTGAAAGCTAGACCCGTGAAAAAGAAGCCGGGTTTCGTCGAGATCGGGGCTGCATCTACCACATCTACACTTTGCGTCAATTGTTGGAGCACTGACATGTTTATTGGCGATCCACCGTCGTCGTGTTTCTTGACATAAAAGGTGCCTTTGATTCAGTAGATCGATATGCCCTTTGGGACTCTTCTGGGGAAAGGTATGCCCGACAAATCCTTAAATATTATCAGAGCGATGTACGTGGATAGTTCGGTTCTGAGTGAGAATTTGTTGCAAAATGTCGCCACCCTTCAATATCTCCACGGTGTGAGACAAGTTTGCCCGCTGTCACCTTTCCTTTCTAACATCGCTCTTGACGCAGTCACTGGACACGACTCACAAGATGTGGAGCTACTTAATTTTCGATTTGGAGTACACTGACGACGTTGCCTTCATATGTAACAACACTCAAACATGCCAAGCGGCACTGGGCAGATTATCACTGGCTGTCAACCGTTCCGGGATATGCTTTGCTTCCTTGAAATGCCAAGTCCTCCAAGGTTGGCAGAGACCTACCCCTGCGTTGACTCCTGTTGGTGATCAGCTAGATGTCGTTCAGGAATTTAAATATCTGGGCAGCAATATTAGAGCCCGTGGGATTGAAGATGAAGTCATGAACCGTATAGCAAAAGCTCGAGGTCCCTTTGCTAATCTCCGCCACTTGTGGCGCCGACGCGATGTCACTCGCAATGATGGGCAGATTTCACAATACAACTGTTCGTTCAACCCTCCTGTACGGTTGTGAGACCTAGCCCATTAGGTCAATAGACATATAGAGGCTAGTCACGTTCGATCATTGCTGCCTTCGCAGCGTAGCTCATGTTTGGTGGCAGCACCGCGTGAGCATTAAGTGTGTTCGGGGTCGCGCATTTGGCACATGAAGAGCGAGTGATCCACTCAGCACCATTATGTCATGCATCAGGCCCCGATGGCTGGGCTACTGGTTGCGCATGTCAGCCCACGGACTTTTGCGACGTGCGTTGTCTGCGCGCCCGGGTCTGGATGGAAGAGAAGGATGGGAGGCCAAGCGATGACTTTCTCGAGAGAAATGAAGATCCTCACTTCGAATTTGGCGTCGGTTGGTGCATCCCGACTGTTGGGCTTGGGTCCGAACGACGATGAACACGTTAGGCTGGATACACTTGTTGACATGGCTAGGAGTCGACCCTAATGGTCTTCGTGTTGCGAGTTTCTTTATCCCTCTCCATCCCTCTTAGCCTCCCCTCCAACCAGGATCTAGTCTCTTAGCATAATATAGTTTTTCATAATAAAATTTTTTTTGCTGCATAGTAGCCGGTTGGTAGCTTTTCGGAACGATGCTCATCCGTTACCGGTAACTCAGCTGGCATGCATCTCTTGTATGCTTTTTTTATGTATTGCGGAACAGTAGCTGAGGTGTTTTCCACCTCTAGCTAACGTGTATAATGCTGATGATGCTGATGAGTAGTGTTTGTAGCAGCGCAAAGGAAAGAACGGATGGTATGCAGCACGTCATGAAGGGCCAGCTCGCACTTCGAAGGTGGTAGGTTTCTGGCTCGTAAAGCGACTCAGATGGTAATCCAGAGTTCCGTTAAGGCGTTTCAATTGGCCATTACCTTATGGATTGTAGACAGTTGTATGACTAGTTACCACACTTCTGTCCAGTAGAAACTTGTTAAGCTCTGCAGACATGAAGGGTTCTCGGTTAGAGTGCATGTACACCGGCATACCAAAAACCGCGAACAAATGGCATACATTTGATGCGCAAGCATATCCGAACATGCAAATACTAAGGGAAATCTGCTGTATTCATCAACGACTTAGTAAATATCTGTTACTAGTCGTTGTAGGTAAAGGCTCTTGAAAATCGACGCTGAGCCGTTCGAACGGATGTGTAGCTTTGATAAGTCGGCCCGCGGATGGGGTTTTAAAGCTGCACAAATAGTGCACTTTGAAATCGAACTTTTAACTTCTGCAAGGGAATAAGTTAAGTTCTTATAACGTAAGAAATGCACCATTTTGGTTACTCTTGGGTGACACAATGAGTTGTGAAGGTTTTGCTGTTACACGTCGTTAAAATTCGAGGCACACGAGAAATTGAGTCTACAACCTGATGCGTTTTGGATCGAGCTTGATTTCGCCATTAGATATATGGGAACCGAGAAGCTGAATTTCATCAGAGGCATTGACGATTTTAGCATCAATCAAAGTTACGCCGTATCTAGTAACTGCTGTCCATAGTTAAACCACACACAATAACGTTGTCTATATAAGCAAATGTATCACTGAGACCTTCCGTTTTCAGTATCCTGTCGATAGTACGCTGGAAACAAGTCATTAGTGACCCAAAATGGAATACGGCAAAAATTAGAAAAGATTTCCGCATGCTTCAAAGGTGGTGTACGGCTTCGCGTGTTCAGCAATGTGAATCACCTGATAGGCATTTTCAGATCCAGTGTACTGTATATGACATAATGAGAAGTCGTTTCTATCATGTTGTCAGTTTGTAGTAACGGATAAGCGTCTATCAATCTGATACGGTTGGTCGTCTGGCTGTAGTCAACAAGCATCCTTTTTCTGATTGGCATTTTTGGTAACCAATACGTGTGTTCTCCAGGGATAGTTTGATTGTTAAATGATACCATCGTTTAACAATTGCTGTGTTCTAGCTTTTATGAGATGTCCATCGTCAATTGAGTGTCGATGAAACATTGTGGCGACGGTTTGCAGTCAGAGGACAAGTTGGCATATGATGGAGGTGATTCGATGTTGGCTGCAGTTAGTCCATACAACGAGTAAGTGCCGCGCCCACTACCGAATGATATTTCCACTTTGTTATGCAAGTCAATAAAATCGTGGCCTAGTAACACATCAGCACATAGAGTACGCAGAACGAAAAGCCGAACGTCATTGCATACTACGTTTTGGTAACGAATTCGAACATTGCAATATCCAGTAACGGCGCACAACAGAGAGGTGGAACCCATAGTGATTTCGGAGCCACAAAGATAGATTTTCCATTGGTGGGTGTAAACGACGCATTGAGACACAACTATCAGAAGTGCCGATATTAATTGAGGTATGCAATTCGGTGTTGTGTACGAAAATTTTGGTTGTTGTAAATGAAAAGCGGCTTGGAGCTGCAGCTGTCAAAACAGGAGACAAAAGCAGATGTAGTACTGAAGTACTGGATGAAGTAGCGGGTTTGGATTTATACACACGTTCGAGATGATTTGCAAATTGCATCTTTCGCGGACACTAACCGCGGGTGTTTAGTATATCCACAGAAATAGCACGTTCCTGTGCGCACCGTTTTAACAATCGGTTCAGCCTCAGTTGAGATGGTAGTGGTGATGATTACGTGGAACAGAGTTTGTCAAGATACGGAATGATTTCAGTTTCATAAAACCGTGACTGTTTCAGAGCAACCTCCATCGACCATTCCATATCATAAGGAGTTAGGAAATTTAAGGCTGGCTGCTCCAGGAGCATCGTCGCAATATTCGTCAGCTGAGATAGAGCGAAAATCGCAGTCCTTTGCTAAAAGTTTGACGTTTTGCACAAACTTGTCGATATTTTATCTTCATTCCTGTTTGCACGTGGTTAAAAGATATCGAGCCAAGACCACATTTTGAGTACGCACATACAGGACAGAAGAACTGAAATTGCACTTTCAACGGTTTTGCATTCATCGACATGCTGATACACGGAAGGAAATAGAAAGTAGACAAGCATGTTCAGATTATCTGAGTCTTCAGATTAAACTCGCTTTAGAAAGGCGGCGAATGTTCGAAGCCAATAGATCCACCGTTTAGTGACATCTGGAGCATTCAAATCAGTGTCGACTTTATCAGGATGAAGATAGCGGTCCATGATGTTGTTAGACCAGTAAGTTGATACGTTAGACGGATAGCACAACAGACGGAATAAAACGGAGTAGGAATTGTACGCTTTAGTGGTCTAACAACAAAGGCGCATCAGCTGAAAGGTAAAAGATTTGCTTATGATGTAACATATACAAGGTGGTATGTGAAAGCATACGATAAAGGCTGTTCTTCCCATGCAGTCCGTCCCGTATTTATGTGTTGCTCGGGTGATGTTGTCACCACACACAAGCAATCCTTCGCAAGCAACGATTTTCAAAAAGTGACCAAGTCTCACGGCCGAACAAGAGAACCGCACGGACGCAGACAATGTACACTCTATCCTTGAGCTTGAGACTGTTATCGTGACGACGCTATAGGTGCGTCAGTTTGATGAATTCATGGTGGCCTTTGCGATCCGTTGTGAGATCTCATCTCCGAAACCGCAGTCAGCCGTGACGCAACTCCTCGGTTAAGTGAAGCAGGGGATTTGCTCGAAAACGTCACCAACAGTGGTGAGGGAACTTATAGGCACTTGCCAATCCTGCAGTAGTGTTTTGCTTGGTGTGGAATACAGGCCAGACGGAAGCGCTTCCATAGCTGATCGGTTCAAATTGCTCTGGAGGTTTTGTGGATCGTCCCTCAGCATATTAATATATCCCTATATTCAACACAACCAAATAATGCAATCGGTATAGTGCCACAACCTATGGGAAATACTGTGAACCAAAGAATTGAGAGGAAAGACGGTGTTCATAGAAATAGAGCGTCACAACAAGTCCGCCATTGTGCACGGTTTCTTACCATATTCAGAAGTGTTTCCAGCCATGTGTCTTCCGGATCCTTCACACTTCAGCCAGGGAGCCGAGAGAGCCCGACCACGGCAAACTTTGACGTTAGCTCCTTCATGCTCATGGCCCAAGTCATACGTTGGCCACCTTGCCTTCACTTCCAGCCGATTTCTGCGTGCGCGAAGAGAGCATGCGAAGAACATGCCCAAGTCACTGAAGTTTCTGCAGAGAAATTATGTCGCTCAGTGGCCGGCAAAGTCTTTTTGATCTGAAAATCCCCGTCGAACATCTTCATTACTAGTGTGATGTCGCCATCGGACACCAGCAATGCTCTGAAGGCAGCAGTAATAAAAGCAGACCGCCTCTCAACATCCTATGCGCGAACAAACCGTATCGCAGACATAGAGCAGAACCTCTCTCACTGTGGCATTGTAAACTCGGCCCTTCATAGACTTAAATCGTCTCGACGCCAGAGATGGCGGAGATTGGCAAAAGCAACCCGAGCCTTGGAGATACACAAAGAGACCTCATCCGTTAAACCATTAGCGCTGAGGCAGCTTCCGAGGCAAACAGGCTTGTCTACTACTTCCAATGAATGATCTGAAAGGGCAAGGATAGTTGCAGCGCCTAGCCAGTCCTGTAGGAAGACCTTGCATTTCGATGGTGCTAAGGTCATTCCAAACTGGGGGACGGACACGTCCAACCTACACAAGACATTTTGGACGGCCTGTGATGAATCGCAGATTACGGTGATGTCGTCTGCATACTCCAAATCCCGAAGTCGGTACCCCGGAAGCAGGTCGAAGCCGCTGGATCCTCAGTTCTTCAGAGTACTCTCCAGAATTGCGTCCATGGCGAAATTGAACAAGGTGGATGCTGGGCAACCCTGTCTCACGCCACTGGTGATACCAAAGGTGGGCGAAAATCCGCAATACACCGGCACTCGGCCGAGGTTTGAAAGTAAATGGCTTGAAGTAAGATGACATACTTCTCGGGCGCTCCCCTTCTCAGTAGACAACTCCAGAGAGCAGCTCTGTCGACTGAGTCAAGCGTGGCTCGCATGTCTAAGAAGACAGTGATCGTCGGCTGGCCAAATATTTGACGATGCTCAAGTATTTGGCGGAATGTAAAGATGGAATCGATACCACTTCTGTCCTGAGCGGAACCCAGCTTGCTCTTCCCGTATGCTCTTTTTGCGTATCAGGCTGGGCATCCTTAGAAGCAGAGCTGCGAGCACCTTGGAAGCAACACAGATGACACTAATCCATCTGTGGTTGGCGCAGTCAGTTTGGGTACCCTTTTTTGTAAATGGACACGATATCTGCTAGGCTCTAATCAGATGGAGGAGAGTAGTTAACTCCTGGACAAGTGATGGGCCTCCGTTTTTGACAAAACCCGGAGGGAGTTCATCTGAACCAAGGGCTTTGTAGCGTCTTAAGAGGCAAATCTCATGGGCAGCCTCAGCCTCGGATGGTGGTGAAGCGTGTACACACCAGGGAGTACTCTTGATTTCAGAATGGTAACCCCTCGGTGCTGCTCGCTAATTGAACTGCTGCTCAAAATGCTCGGCTCAACGCTCGAATCGGCGTTTTTGATAGTGGATTGGCTCGCCACTGGTTTCACATAAAACTTCGCTTACAGTCGGGTTTTTTCGCCAGTAGATCGGATCAGGAGGAAAAGCTTACGGAAATTCCCCGAGGTGGCCGCTTGCTCCATCTCAATGACCCGCTGTGTCCACCAGGCCTCTCGATCTTCCCGGAGAAGCTGTTTGAGCTCAGCATTAGTAGTGTTGCATAGTGAATGGTTTTTAACACTAGAGGGAATTGCTAGACGGGCCTCGAGAAGTTGTAGGGGTCGTGCAGAGATCCAGCGATTGACAGGACTACTGGTGAAGCCACAGACCAGGGTTCCAGAGTTGTACATGGTGCCGCGGATGTGTGTCCAGTGTGTTGCAATGTCTGTGTATGGGGCAGTCTTCAGCCGTGAGGCCAAGGCATCCTCAAATGCGCGGAGAACGTTCGACCCTCAGCAAAATGATATTATCAACGTAAGCTATATCAGCTGTACACCGTAACGGCGTTTCGCTGCTGTGCGCCCACCACCAGTCGCACGCGGGCTGAGGATACCGCGAGGACGCCCACCCCTACGCCGATTCGTACCCACGACTTTTTTGTCGGGGATAAGCTCAGCATCGCAGTTTTAGACACTTTTCGATGCCCGTTGGACAATATCGGTGGCAAAATTGGAAGGTATAGAAAAGATAGGGCAACCTAGGTGAACGCTGCTAGTGGCAGAAAACGAAGAGGAGTTTTCCGTATGCCCGACTTTGCCCAACACGTGACTGTAAAGTTCCTTCCGCGCACACCGCGCACACCTTTCTTTGGTAGACAGTTCCACGACGCAGATCTATCTGCTGAATCAAATGCTGCTCGGATATCCAAGAGCACTACGGTTGTTGGCCATCGGTGAGCGTGAGGAAGTTTAAGAAGTTGACGAAGTGTGAGGGTTTAATCAATACAACCTCGGCTGAACGAACACCAGATTATTCGTCTAGGGGAAAGCTCTCTAGTCGCTGAAAGCCCGCGAAGTAGGATGAGCACGAAGATAAATAAAACTACACGGCAATTGGCGCAATCTTCGCCGGAACCCTTCCTGTGAATCGGCACAATGACTGACTCTCCACATGAGTTTGGAACCTTCTTGTCAGCCCAAACTTTCAGGAACAGCGATGGGATTGACGAGTGCATTCTGTCCATCTTCGAATAGAACCAGGGGTAGGCTGTCAAGGCCAGGAGCTTTGTGACGCCTCAAAGATTACACTTCGGATCTCTGCTTCGGTAGGCGTATCCGTGGGGGACAAGGCAAGCACTACCTGAAGGGAATGGTGTAATTGGAGGCTATGATGGGTAGGTAAATTCAAGAGAAATGCTCTGACTAGCGACCGAAGCGCCTGTGTACGTTGGTGAATTTCGTGCCATCCGACTCACAGGTTATCTGACTGATCGTATGTGAATTGCAACCGGTGGTCTTGATGAGGTAAAATGAACTGCGGAAATTTCCAGCCGATACATCGGCTTCCATATCAACAGCTTGTCTTGACCACCAGAATTCACGGTCAGAGCGAAGGCTTGAATTCAGCTGTCGAGAGATGGATCGATGGAGTTCGTTGTATTCCGCACTGACAGACACAGTCGGTTGACGATCCTGCAGTTCCGAGAATTTTACCGAGATCCAGCTTCTGACTGTACTGCGGACGAGGCCGCATCTGTACAAACTGGCTGATAACATAGCTTATTGTAGATCTGACCAGTGTTAGTCAACATCCAGATTAGGAGAGTGAGATTTCCTTGAAGCCTCTGTTGGTACTCCATTTTCACCACCGGGTTTGTTTGGCCCTAGGTAAGCCACCGGAACGCATGCAAACTTTCGCGAATACCAACGCAAATTGCTCAAAATGATCGGCAGTCACGTACGATGCCGCGCCACCTGCGACTAATGGCAATGTGACCAAGTTGTGACCAGCGATGGGTTGTTAACACTATACAACAAATAGATTTATTTTCTATTACAGGAATGCCAATGTCTCTACCTTATAGAATATACTCCACTGATCGTAGAAATGCATTCCGAAGTTACCTAACACGTCAGGTTGCATTGTTATAAGATAATGATTATTTTCAGTAAAGCCCAGTTTAGATCGTACGAATCATATGTAAATGTACTGAATCATAACATATACAATATGCATGTATGTGGCAAATACGTTTAAAACATTGATGCAACACTTGCTCCTGCAGCTTGGTACTGGGAAATGATGACTTCACCGAGATCATCGCTTGTATAATCCGGTGCCCTCAAGCTGCAGAAACCAGCTAAAGTCACCCATCATAGAAGGCGTGGACCTGCCACTGTATCGCTGTTCCATGACTGAAATGTCTTAGTGAAAGCGCTCATGTTAATCGCTAACCGATCCCTTTCGGTAGTTAACTTTTGTGTTGGTCCACCCCTCAAAGTGCATCAGTCCCACATGCAGTTTTGTCATGTATTATCCAGTCGAAGCATTGTTGAATGCCCCTGAAAGCTTGTCTGTCGGTTGGCGAATCACTGCGTGATCCATATTGTCATTTCTTCTATCTTTTAACACAGGAGTTTCTAACGGTTTATGTGGTTTTACAATCAACTTTGGTCTTTTCAAACCTACATGACTCACTTTCCTTCTTCAGGTGTCAATTCACTAATCTCTCCAACTTGACCTTTGGTCGCACAGCTGCTGGCTTGCAAGCATTTCTCGCGATGCAAGCGGTTCCCGAACGTGTTCATTCCGATCAAAATAAAGAGCGTGCGCATCGCAGGAAGAAGCGCCGTGATGATGCAAATTTAGAACCACCGAGTGATCCTCCTAATCGCGGTTCTCGCCAACGTAATGAGTCGCAACATTACAACCGTGAAAATCGGGATTACTTCAGGAATAAGTCGTACGATGAATACGATGAAGAGTATATCCCCCAAAATACAGAGCATCTCGATGATTCTTTCGTCCCCGCTTCTCATGCTAGACGCTCCGGTGACAATCGACACAGAAGGTCCAGTAAGCCCAAGCCTCCAATTGAAGAAAACGATTATGTCAATGCCCCTTTTGAATCTGATTTAGATCAATCTGAGCAGTATCATGATCGCGAATACGGGCGTGCGGAAGACAATGGTGTTGACGAAGCGTTACGTGAGCAAGATGAGAGTTTTCAATCAGATTATCCTCAGCGCCGCGCCTCCCGATCGCACCCTTCACGAACACATCAGGCATCGCGAGATGGCACTTTCCTACCCATTAACGAGCGAGAACCTTCCGTCCTTACAGTTTCTGACTACGGGCGCGAATCCGCCATTAGCGCCACTCCTCATGCTCTCGGTGGGAACGAACGGGAATTCTGGAACCCCGAACCGGAGCTAGATGGTACGGTCCCGTCGAATCCGCCACTGTTGCAGCACGCAACAGGGTTGCAGAAGTTCTTGGCCTCGTTTCGTCGATTTAAGAGAGCGAAACAATCTTCAAACGCGGCCGCTTTATCAGAACCTAACGTTACTGATCCCAGCTCGACGCTTGCCCGTGTTATCATGTTGGATGGAGAGGAATTGTCCTATCAACTGGGTCACAACGAAACCGGTCAGTCTTTGTTGGCTAAAGTTTGTCAGACAGCAGACATTGTGGAGACGGATTACTTCGGTTTGACCTATGTAAGCAACAAGCTACGTACGTGGGTAAGTCAAGTTCGTATTCCACCCATTTCTTATGTAATGAGCTAGCGATAACACGAGGTAACTGGACTCTTTTGAGAAAGTAGAGCAACGGAGGTGAGGCGACGGTTAGCGAGACAGATCACTTCCACAGATATCATTGTCACTTTAATAACCGTGAGACTTAGTTTATCTGACTTCTAACCATTCACACATGCAAATGCACTGTCCATGACAGCTCGGTGCACCAGAGGAGTAGATAAGTCATCTCTTAATGTTTAGGTCTAGTTTTGTCATGACGACCGATTCATCGCTTTTTCGCCATCCCGTTGACCACTTAGCGACTTGATGACAGTGCACTTCAATTTTCCTACCTAACTATATGCCACACGTCATTCTGCAGACTTATCGCACTTGCTCGTTCACTCAAATTAGAAGGGCTGCCCGTATCTCCTGATCCCTGGTTTTATTCGCTTAGCGCACCTGACATACATTCAGGATGAAATGTTGATACGTATCAGAACTGTGGGAACAAGTTCTCTGCACTTGCTGATTAAAAACCATTGTCATCTCAGACACATTTCGGCGCAATCATTTCGACTCACTTCTATTCTTCACTTTCTCATAGCGTCTGTCCACTCATAACGCAGCTTCGAATGCCGGCTAAATTGCAGTGGGTATGTCTACGGGCCACTAGGCCGACGCTGCTATGATCAATTGGATTCCAATCAGTAGTCAGATGTGCGGCCACATAGAATGGCTCGGTCTAATCTTCGGAGTGGCGCTGGACAATAAATGCTTATTTGTTGTTACTCCCAACGCTATCCTAAACTGTATTGTTGACTTGGTGAAGGATGACTTCCATCGTCAGCTGAACGAAATTCCTCATCACAGCATGAGTACAGATACTGTAGTGTAGACTGGTGATCTGAACGCTGGAATCGAAAAGTTGTCCGCTGATCTAGGAGAAAAAGAGATGAGGAGCACGCCGGCACATTGTACTGACGCTTCACTAACACGCGACCCCAGTCACACAATGGCTACTTATACCGGCTAGGTAACCCGCACGTACGCGAATTCGAACCGACGACATCCGTATTGCGATGCAGGCGCGTAATCCTTTCGGTCACCGGTCGACGTCCACTGAGTTATCGCTACTCTTGTTCTCACCTTTCGTGTACATTGTTCGATCAACCGAAGGAGATCTAACGTCCCGAACTTCCACTTAGGTTAAGACGAATGAAAAGGCTCACCTTGACTTGCCATCTTCACTCCGTATTTTTTCACCAAAATTTGTCGGTGCTTTTTTGGGGATGACAAACAACAGCTTTTGAATGAATACTAATATTTTTCATCACTATTGTATATCGTTACAATGGTACTCTTTCAGGTGTCCGAGAAGATAGTAAGACTCAATGTTCACTTTTAAGTCTTCAGCAACGATGTACTTACGTTTAGCTTTCATGAAGATCCGCGTACATTCCCTCTCACTCTTACCTACGGGTTACGAAGGACTATCTGCGGGTAACTTACTGAGATACTTTAGACAACTTTCACTACCGTTCAGGACACAGTTAGATATCAGTCATGGTGGTCCGCAGCCGTCATCCATGTCTCAGTGGCATAAGTCGCTGGCCAGTAAGAATAAGGTCATGTGTTCGAATCCGACAGGGGATTCGGCAGTTGCGCGCTAATGATGAGTCCCACTAGGATGAAACGGCCACCTAACACCTTCCTGGATGTGTAGTGGCTGTCTGGCTGAGTTTAGCCGCGGTGAATCTTCTCAACAAAGCACAATATATTCCCTACTATTCACTAGGGAAAAGCTCTGTTGCTACTCTCATTAATGAATCTATGGTGATAGAACATTACCTACTAGATTGAGAACTTAAGCACCTACAGTCCAGATCAAATTTATTCGCCGTGCATACGTTGCCTTTAAATCGGCCGTTGCCTTTTTCACCGAACATCATTTTTACATTATCTACTGTATATATCTCAGTATTGCAAGATTACAGCGACAGATATTTTGTTCAATCAACTTCCAAGGTCACAAAGACCCTTTATCCTCTCCAACTTTGAATATGCACGCGAGATATCGCGCACGATCCCCGATATATTATCTCTGGACACAAAATTCTACGTCAGTTGAGACGAATTCTGAAAAAAAACCTTTTTACGAACCTTTTCCGTTTTCAATAGATACAAATCCCGAAGCTTTAGTCAAACTTTTTGGGATCGTTGCTCGATCGATCCATGACAGTGCATCCTCATTTTTCTACCCATTTGTAAACTTAGCATTTTTAATGGTAACCCTTTGGTAAATTTACAGTTGATAATGTAAAATTCTGAAAATATACCCTTTCGGGTACATAAAGCTTACATTGACCTGACTTTCTATCCTCTCGCTTTGCTTCATTGTTGCTAAGTAAACATGCCTACCTCCTTCTCGAACAGTGTCTGCTACGTGAGGTGTAGGCAGCTAAAACGTGTATCAAACTTGGGTGTTCGCTGTTTCTATGTTAAGTCCATTTTATTTCTATTATCGTCAGCTCTCAGATTCGGCATCGTGTTGACCGTTCATTTATCACTGCTTATTTTCCCGCCGTGTCCAATTTGTAGTTCTGGCTTGACGCTGACAGAAAAATTTCCAAACAGTTACGAAGTGAGTTACCCTTGTGGCTCTCCTGCATACTTTGTCGTGTTGAGAATGTGGCAGCAACAGTGCACGCCGGAGTGGGATTACACCAAATTAATAGCACCCCTGAACTAGTTTTGTAATGTTCTACCAACGAACACCCACACACTTTAAGTGTATTACTGCGCAAAGTTGCAAGGCATATCCAATCAGATGCATTGCTTCTCTTGGCCCAAAAATGGACGGGCTTTTCGAAGCAGTTTGTTAATTAGAGGCACCGACCACTTTCATTGGCTAACTTACTGCGTAATCAGCTCCATTCATCACGTTCAGTTGTATACCCAGAAGCTTCAATCCGTGATTGTGTACAAACTCATGCAGTATGCAGTTTTGGTGAAAAATAGGAATCGAATCACCTGTCGTTGTGCGACACACGATATGAGCCCTTTATCGTTCACACGACTTCCCAACCACACCACATCCCGGTTTCGCTACCGACTTGAGGTGTGTGAATGAAATAACTGAGTCACCGGGTATTGCATCCGTACATTCGTTCTACTGATGCGATCTAAAAAAATTATCTCGGTCTATGCACTCAGGGGCAAATTTAGCAGCTATGGTAACGGCAACGTCATACTGTGATTAATTCTTACCGGTGCTGTGACCTGTCTTGGGAGTTAGACTTTTACGAGGTAGCGTACTATCTCGGAGCGCAGGCTGACACTACCGATGAGGTTTCGGCGATTCCTTCGATTCGCCCAGACTGCTGTGATTAGTCAGATACATCTGATGTTCCGTGCCTATAAACTGTTATTTGTCATCCTCGGGCCACCGTGGACCTAGGAACCGAGGTGCTGTCATTGTTTTTATATGGTCTAGAGCTTGTTTGTGCGTGATACATATATCGGATATTGTAATTAGTAATGAAGAGACAATACGAAATGCTTGCATCGACCAAATATCGTCTTTTTGTTGTGATTTCAAGTTGTTGAAGGGAACAACGCTTTAGGATTCGGGAATGTTCATCATGATGGCCACGCAGATGCTCACTAAGACATGCTCAGAATTTTGGCACTCTTTCCGCTTCAACTTGGCCCGTGGTCTTAAGGATCACAAACTTGCCTTGTAATCCGAGGACGCGGGTTCGAGCCTGCGTAGGAGACCGGACGACCTTCGCAGTATCTTTAGCTCACATGCGACTGTTGATGGTTGTGCGGCAGCGAAGCGTCGGTACTGCGTACCGGCGTACTTCCGGCACTCTTGGATTGACGTGTACTATTTGTGAGTGATGACACTGCTTGTGATCGGTGTGTTACACCTAATGCGAAGTGAATACTCACCGTCCCTGTGTG